TTCAGACGTGTGCTCTTCCGATCTCCCCAAAACCCCAAAACCCCAAAACCCCTGCATGAATTAATTAGAAGAGAATAAATTGATAATAAAAATTTACGTCAGTGATATAAAAGGATGAAAATACGAGTTTTAGGCTAATTTTTATGTCTATATTAGAATTTATATATTGCTTATATATTTAGTTTGTATGAAGACTTATTCCTCAGTGGTGAGAGTGTTTTCCATGCTTAAAATTATCCTCATCTTTATTTCTTCTGCAGCAAAGACCATAAGTAGCGAAAAGAGCAACGAAAGTGAGTGCAAATGATACAAGAAGAATGATTCCGATAGCAAGTGGCTTTTCTTTAAAAGTATCCTTGATTCCAGTGAGACAGTTCTTGCCTGGGGGACCTGATGTGATGTTTCTGAAATACATGAATGGACCAGCCTTGCAAATACCATTGCAAGAGAAATCTGATTCAAGAGTTCTGAATAGAGACTCAAGACCATCTGAAATCTTTTCAACATTACTATATTTGCTCAAGTCCTTAATTGAAGTGTAGCAGTCCCAGAATGTGTATTTAACATTGGCAGCACTACTTTAGAGAAGAGGCTAATATATTGGTTTACTGGTAAAGGTTCTATTATATTGATTCATGAGAGTCTCATTGTATTTATCTGTGAAGTAGGTTCCTAGTGGGCATGGACAATCGCTAGTGCAGTAATATTTAGCAGTGTAGGTTGTCATCTTATTGTCTATCTCAACAATAGAATCATAAATGCTATTTAAACCTTTGTAATCATCCTTCTTTCCATCGCAGAAATCATCAACAAGTTTTTATGAGGCAGCTCCAAGAATGATAAAGACGATACCAAGAGCTAGGAAAATTAGAACTCCTACAGTGGCACATCCAGAATACTTTAAAACTTTTAATACACAATATACTTACTAGACATAGGCAGCATTTTTTCTTGTAGCATAGACATGAGATAACTCCAAGAGCTCCAACAATGAATGCAAAAATAGCTAATGCAATTACAAAACCAAAGGCACCATCTCCAACAGCTTTATTATCATCCCTAATACTTGTTAATTCAATTTACATACTTTAAGAAGCTGAAAAGATTCTTAAGAAGAGCTCCGTAGATGAAAAGTAAGATGACTGGTACCTAACAGAGAAATTTAAAACCAATTTTTGAAACTGATGTGCTTCTAAGCCCTCTTATTTAGGGTGTTAGCCAATTATTTGATTATATGAGATAAAGTACTTACCACTAATAGACCTGCTGATACTCCTAATGTAAGTTTGACACATTTGTCCTTGCAACAATAACACATTGCTAACGAGTTAAGAAAATAAAATAGATTATAAGTTTCATTATCGATTACTATAAATAGGTTAATTAATTTTAAATCGGCCGGAAATGGTCTTTGTTTGTTATAATGTCATCTAATTATATTCGACCCAACTTGAGCAGATTCAGACTAGTGGGGTTTTGGGGTTTTGGGGTTTTGGGG